AGAAGAAGAAGACGATGACGACCCATGCCATTAAAGAGTTTAGCATCTATTGGAGTAAACAGCAGTTTTGTGAGGATTAAATGAGAAAATGTGTGTGAAAGCATGGAGCTGTCCCAGGCCATGGGACTGATAAAACTTAGTTTCCCTCACCTTTAACTTTTTTTTTTCTGCATTAAACTCATATATCCACAGAAAAATCACATGGCTGGTAATCAACTTTTATTTAATACTAGAGGCCCGGTGCACAGATTCATGCACCAGTGGTGTCCCTCAGCCGGGCCTGCGCCCTCTCACAATCTGGGACCCCTCAGGGGATGTAGCAGTGTGTGAAGCGGTGGGCAGCCAGAGAGGACCCCAAGCCCGGGCCTCTCCCGCTCATCCCGGGCCCCGCTGCACCTGCTGCTGCCGCCACCGGTAGCATGCTGCCATGGAGGTGAGAGAGGCTTGTACTGCCGCAGCGGTGCTCACCATCCATGAGCCCAGTGTCTGGCGCCCATCAGTCAGCTGAGCAGTACTCCCGCTGTGGGAGCGCACTAACCACCAGGGGGCAGCTCCTGCGTTGAGCGTCTGCCCCCTGGTGGTCAGTGTGCATCATAGGGACCAGTCAAATGCTCATTCAGTTGTTCGGTCACTTAGGCTTTTATATATATAGATATGTATAGCCCATGGACATAGACAATAGTGTGGTGAAGGCCTGGGAGAGGCAGGTGTGAGGTGGAGGTGGTCAATGGGGGAAAAACAAAAAGAAAGGGGGACATCTGTAATACTTTCAACAATAAAAATAAATTTAAAAAATAAATAAAAAGAACAAGAAAAGGAGGAGAGGAAGAGAGAGAGAGAGAAAAAGGAGGAGGAAAGAAGGAAGGAAGGAAAGAAGGAAGAAAAAAACCTTTTAAACACTACATCACTACACTTGCAAACCAAGCTACTGGGACAACTTTTGTGTAGATTTAAGCATGCATTTAACCAAATGAATTTTCCATTGTTCCCACCTGTTTCCCAAATAGCTTCAACTGTTCTGCCTTTGACCTGCTTTGGCTCAATCCTACATGGAATCTGCGCTCTCAGAATACCCGACTCCCGCGCTCCTCCACCACAGAGCTGCCTTGGCAGCAGCTGGGAAAACCTCCAGGGAACAGCTGGTGCCCAAGGCCCCACATTTCTGCCATCTCTGAGGGTCAAGAGTAGTTTCCTGCAATAATGGTATTTAGCGGACACATTTCATTAAAAGAACACCTTACATTTATGTGTGTGTGTGTTTTCCATTGACAGATAACTCAGAGTCATTATCTCATTTGGTTCCACTTGGTCTTCAGAACAAACCTGGCAGACTGTGAACATAATGAATCGAGAGCCAAAGCCCTGGCCTGGGTTCTGACCCTTGCTCTGATGCTCACCCCATGGATGACAGTGGATGGGGGCAAAACCCACCTTAACTCTCAGGACTCCATTTCCTTGCTCCAAAATGAGAAGACTAGAGTAGATGATCTCCCCTTAAAATTGACATTTTTGGACAAAGGTCTCAAGCAACCTTTCCCCAGTTAACTCTATCCACTGCTGAATGAAATTCAAACTGGTCCATTACCTTTATCACACCATTTACTGTTTACCCACTCAGATACGACTAAAATAAACCCAAAGCACCTTGGGTTGTGTCATAGCAAATAAGCTACTTCGTTTAATCCTCCCAACAAATCCTAAGTTCAGGTATTATTACCTCTAGTTTTCAGATGAGGTAATTGAGGTGAGAATGAGTGATTTCTGGCAATCACACAGTCGGTAGCAAAGTTCTACCTTCTAGTTCTGTGGAAACCAAACCACCTTGGAAATGAAAAACACTACCTTCATGGCATCCAGCTTCACAATGATGACAACTGTCAACCGTTTGGTTGAAAAGCATATCATCAACTAGGACACAGGATACTAATTTGACCTCTGATCCATGCAAGCCATGGGGCCATGAGTGCCTTAATGTCAAACAATGTTTTAAGCACACTTTCAACTTGCTAATTCCTTAAGGGTAGACGGAGATGGTGTCTAAATTAAAACCTTCACCTCTGAGTGCTCTGCCCTGTGTGTGCCCTGTACTTCCTTGTTGATTTGTTTCCCCTCTGTCGGGTGGGTCTCTCCTTGACAACTGGGGGCCACATTTAGCCAAGCAGCTGCCCACTGGCGTCTAAAGCCTGCGATATGTAGTTCTGGCAGCATCTCAAAGGATTTATTATTATCATCCCATGATTTCATTATTATTATTATCATCCTTGTGAAATTGGGTAGCTGAGCCCACTACAAAGCATTAAGCCCTAGTTTAACATGAAACAGTCTGTTTTCTGCATTCCCTCTGCAGTTGAGGGATCCCCCTGTCCCTCAGTTTCTGCTCACTGTCGGAGGGCTCTAAGAGGTGGCCTGCAGCCATGGACAAGTCAGCCTGAGTGTTCCTCCCCCCCCCCAACCTCCCCGCTTCCTCACTGCCCTGTCCCAGTGCCTCTTTGAGGAGGAGCTCTTTACCAAATCGAAGGTGATTACAATGTGATCTGAAGAGCACCGAGGGTGATTACAATGTGATCTGAAGAGCACCGAGCCAGGGGGCAGGAGATGCAGGTTCTGCAACCAAGGATAAGTCTCTTTGCTAACTTGGACCTGGGTTTCCTCATATAGTAAGTGAGGCAACCAAGTGAGATTATTTTGATGCTTAATCTCAAAATATTCTGGAGATTCCCACAGGGAAGAACAACTTGTAGGAAAGATCTCAGAGAAAGACCCTCCTACTCCTCACCTCTACTCTACTTCACCCAAAACCAACCTGGTTTACACAAGACTTTACAGAAAACAAAAGCAGCTCTTTAGCAGGGAAATCAGAATTCCTCACCTAAAATGTGCCAAGGTTAAAAAAAAAAAAGGGATTGATTAGGAGTCCTAAGACTTAGATTTCATCCCAGCTTTTTTTATAACTAGCCATGTAGCCCTCGGCAAGTACCCCCTGTACCTCTGATAGTTCATCTTCCTAATTCAAACATCAATAATTCTTTGACTTACCCTACCCCAAACAATCTTTGAGGATCATAAGAAAATGTGGCTTGAAAATGTCAGGTATAACCCTATATATAGATAAGTTATTAAATTAAGGTCACTTCCTTCCTTTGACCCTAGATAAATCTCAGAAAAACTGCAAGATTGATAAAACATTATAAAATGCTTATCTTCCTATTAGTGGGATAGCTGATAGGTTTAAATTTTGTTGTTGAATTTTAAAATATGTAATTTTAGAGAGAGAGAAAGGAAGAGGGATAGAAAGGGATAGAGAGAAACATCGATAAGAAAGAAACACAATGACTGCCTGATTGCAGGCTCCCTGAGAATGGAGCCCCAAACCCGGCCACGTGCCCTGACCAGGAGTCAAACTGGTAACTTCTTGGTTCATGGGTTGATGCTTAACCACTGAACCAAACTGGCTGGGCTTGTTGTCAAGTTTTAGCAAATCTCCTAACAAATATTTATTAGGAGTGTGCCTTATATTGTTCTGGAGACAAAAGAAGATACTAAAAGGAAGTATAAACTTGACCTCCAGGAATCTCCAGGAGTTTACAGTCTTGTGAATACAAAGAAACTGTGAATTAATTTTAAAACAGTATAATGACATGTAAACATATAACAAATGCTCAATCCACCCAAGTTGGGGTCTGAGCCTTCAGCAGAGGGGTAGACCGGTGTTGGCCCAAGTCTGGAGCAGGCTGCATGAAGGAGACCGAACTGGAGACAGACTGTGAATGACTGGAACTAGCAGTTTTCTACATTTATAATAGCAGACCATCAGTAACAAGTGCCAGAATTAAATAAGAAAAAGAAGTTTAATATTGATGATTAGAGAGAAATGTCTTATTTCTCTATATTCAAAAGTGACAGATTTCAGACCATAATTTTTTAGGTGATAATTGTGAAAGAATCCAAAGTCCTATTTATTTAGGATGTAGAAATCATAGCACTACATGGTTACACAGAAATGTGAAGTCTCAAGGAACTCTTTTTAAAAACTGAGATCTCCTGCTATGAATATGTTTTCTCAAAATGGCTGCTTTGTGTCCAAAGCCTTCCCCGGCGACCCCTTCACAAAGCACTGAATCAGCCACAGGTTTATTAGTGCTTCCTGAACATGCTCTGCACACTCCTGCTTCTGCCCCTTCGCTCAAGCCATTCCCCGCTCTGGGCAAGCCCTGCCCTCACCTCTCCAGGTGTGTGAGCCCTGCCTATCTTTAGGATCCAGCTGAAACCCAACGTCCTCCATGAAGCTTTTACTACCTGGTCCACCACTTATCAATCCGCTTCTGAATGCCAAAAGTGCTTATTTTCTGAACTATCAATTTTGCAATGTTTTGTTATATATATTTTTTTCCAGACTCAGGTCCTATCCCCAAGAGAACCTGTTTAAGTCTCTGAAGGCAGGGAACACAGTCACTTTTTGTATTTCCAGTGCTTCATATGGCACCCCACGATGTGGCAGGCCCTCACTGAATATATGTCATTGAGCATCTATCTAGTCAAGTCCCAAACTAGCCATGTTTTCCATAACTCCACCACAACTACCCTCCCATTTGAAAAATGGCCAAAATATGTTAGAGATGAGCTAAAAGCGTTGTATCTTAGGTAATACATAGTGACATAACCTAAAAAAAAATACCCTTGAAAAAACTTAATTTTTTCACTCTTTAAAAATAATGCATGCATTATTACAGTATACCCCATAAACAGAAGCATTAATATAGATTTGCTTATCTGAAAAAGGATTTAGCAAAGGGCATTTCTCCTAGCAATGAGACAGCTGAAGAGGTGTAATTTAACAGCTTGCAGAGGCCCGTCACTGTGCTGATTGAGGTGGACAGAAGGCATAGACATGACCAAGGCCCTTAAAAGACACAAACAGGTGGGAGCGTGTGCTGGGGGTGGGCACCGGGCTGCAGAGTACAAAAAGGAGGAAGCTCGCCTTCAGAGAGCAGAGACAAGAGAGGGCAGAGAGCGAGACTGCCCGAGGAATGGGAGGGGAGGAGAAGAGAGAAGAGGAGATCTGAGGCGAGGTCACATCTAGACAGGACGCAGTAGGAAGTAAAGCTAGAACAAAGACCAGTGAGAGGCCAGGGCACAACTAGGGAGAAAGGATGGACTCGCAGGACAGGGGATGCACATAAAGGAAAGACAGATGATTTCTCTGTGTGACCAGAAGGATAGCGATTAAAAAGGTAAGAATGACAGGAAAGGCAGGAAAAGGGAATAAGTAAGGGGACAAAGTAAGTGCACAAGGACTAGTTCATGCTTAGCAAATCACCCGGCAGTTAGGCTGAGCTGGAAAGAGAGCCACAGCCATACCCGAGAGGGGACCATCAGGAAGGGGAGGCAGGCAGTGTAAGTAACTAGCTACTGAGGCAAAAATGAAAAGAAGAAAAAAAAAGAAAGAAAGAAAAGAAGAAGATGGAAAAGGTGAGAAGCAGGAGAGGGAAAACCCTAAGGAGACACTGGCCCAGAAACCTTTTTAACTTTCTGTAAAAATCTTCAAGGCCCCAAACTAGGCCAAGATTCTGACTGACATTTCTGAGCTCACCAGCTGCTGTTTCCTTGAGAGAATTCTGACAGGAAGGCATAGAAACGCAAGCCAACGCTGGCAGCTCTGGAAAAAATAATCATACTAACACTCCGTGCTCTAAACACCTCAATGGGACTCACGCCTCCCATGGAAGAAAGCGCACAGAGGAGGAGGGACTTGCCCACAACTTTCCCCAGGTAAGCACTGAGCTGCTCCCCCGCGCTGCTTTCCCCTCTAGCTGTCCTCTGGCCCTTCCTGCCTTGCCCATCTGTCTTCCTTTCTTTGTGCATTTTTGGGGAAGCCCTGCGGGGGATCTGCTTCTGTCATCTGAAGCCAGCACTGCGGTATCTGTCGGAGCAGGTGAAGCACCACATCCTGTGTTCTGCGTCTCACACAGATTGGGGAGGACCGCTAGAATTCAGAGCCAGCAGGCAGAGCTAGGGGAGGGGAAATAAATGGGAGAAATCACCCCTGCCCACATTATCAGTGCGTGGGGATGACTTGTGGGCTAGTATTGACAATGGACTTGTTTCTGTGTGCTGAGGCTTGGAGCAAAGGCAGAGGGGGAGGGTGCGTGCGGAAGACAGAGGGACAATAAAAGGCAGGGGCTCTTGCAAGGTAGGGGCTGGTCAGCTACCTAAAGAAGAGCTAGGGTTGGAGGAGTGATGGATGAGAATTTGACAGCATATGACCTTGAACTTGGGACTTGTCCTTCTAGTGCTTTGGTAAGATATTTTGAATGCACGTTGAAATTTTCTTCAGAGCAACTCAAAGGAATTTATTTCAAATAAGAAATTTATCTCAAATATGCAATCATTGAGTGGGAGTGGTTCCTTCAGATAACCCCACAGACTTCCCCACTAAGACAATGTGAAGTGTTACATCTTTTTTTAAAAAAAACACCTAAGAAACTAAGTTCCCCTGCAATGTATTTCTTTGGAAAACTAGGACAAGAACCAGATTCTCTGACTTGTTCTCTGGACCTTAAGCAATTCTTAATTCTCACTCAATGTACTAGGTTCACACACACACACACAAAAAGTAAGATTTTGGAGTTAAAGAGCTTTATCATTATTCTGTATTTTTATGTTATCTTACATTACATTATCAATATGATCCCTCTGCCAATATAACATGAGGTCGTGTGAGTCAGTGCACCCTCTGCTGGTCTATCTTCTCAAGAAAAACAATCACCTCATTTTATACCCACTTTTCACCAAACCCCACCGAAGGCTTATTGGTAAGAACTGGAAGCCAAAGGAGGTGATTCCCTGTAGTGTAAACCCCTCAAGCTGAAGACTCTTAGAAACTCCACAGACAGGTTCCCCCTCTCTGCACCCTCATATGTGAAAGCTCCTACAGCCACTCCCTTGAAGAGCCACCTTCCTGGCTTCTGTTTGGCTTTACTCCACTTCCTCACCGCCTCACGATTAGGAGCTCAGAGTGTGAGGGCCAGTTTCTTGCCCTTGAACTACTGAGTGTCAGAAACACTGAGCTAGCACAGTGGTTCTCAAAGTGTAGTCCCCCAGATAAGCAGCACTAGAACCGCCTGGGAATTTGTTAGAAACGGGGGTGCGGCCTGGCAATCTGTGTTTTAGCAAGCCCTCCAGGTGACTCTAATACACTGAATTAGAAAATTAAGATTTGTTTTAAAGGGCTCTTTCCTGAACCTCAGAGCTCAGACAGAGCTCAGATCTCTTTACAGGTGTGACTGGTCTAAAGGAGACCTTTCCCCAAATCACAACCTCTCAGGGCCTGTGTCCTTTATTTGTATAAAAAGGATATTTATAATGCCAGCTACTTGTTTCAGCACTGAGAACTGTGCCCGCACACAGTAGGTGCTCTAAGCGTGCTGATGGTGGTAGCGGCAGCTTTATCTACTACACCCTTACTATGTAAAAGCTCTTTACAAAAGCAATAGGTGTGGGAAATAAAAAATGAAGCTGTCAGGACCCCAGCCCTTGTGAGAGGAGATGCATGCATTACAGGCACACAAGGAATCAAGCAGCCAGTAAGATGTGACTGTGCCTGTGTACAGGTACAAACAACAGGAGCTGAGAAGAGGAAGAGCTACAAGTGGTAGAAAACTTGGTGGAGAAAGTGTCTTTTGAACTGTAATTGTAACCAATGAAGATGGGCAAAAGGAAAAGAGCATTCCGGGTGGAAGATGAGCACAGGGAACATTGCAAAGAGAAGACATTAGCGGTCAGGGGTGGTCAAGAGTGACTGCTCCCCTTTCTGTTACTAATACGTGAACTGTTCATGGGTGGAGAGGGGTCGCCTACTTGTCACCAGGATTGCTGAAACTCCTCTTTTAACCCAAATTAATGATTTTTCTTAGACTGTTGTAAAATGAGTCTTTTCCAGTACCGATTTCATTAATTGAGCATTCACATTTCTCTGTCTTATTATTAGAGCCATGTTTTTCAAAGTCCTCTGCTCACTGGTAACGGAATACATGGAGAATGGTGGCACAAATGCAGATTCCTGAGCCCTGGCCCAGGTGGCTATTTCAGCATCTTTGAGAGCAAGTCAGAAAAATCTTCATTTTAACAAGTTCCCTTCTGATTCTAATATTCACTCAAGTTTGAGAGCAACTCTCCTAGAGCTGTTGTTTCCCCCAAACTTGCTGAGCATAGAAATCACCTGGGAGTGCTTGTTAAAAGTAAGGCTACCCGGCCAATCCCATGGAGATTTCAGTTCCATGGCCCTGGAGTGGGGTGTATGGGAGAGGAGTTTTAATAAGTGCCTTTGTGGCACTAAGGATCAGGCAAGTTTGGGAAATTGAGTGTATTAGAGTGAATTGGGTTAGAGAAATGCTTCAAGTTATAGGTCAGCCATACTAGCTGTGTGACTTGGGTGAGTTTCTTAACTACTCTAGTTCTCCAAATTACTTAACCTGCTGGAGATGGTTTCACCCTGTGTAATAAAATGTACTTCACAGAATTTGTGGAGTGTAAATAGGTACTGGTAAACGCTTAGTACAATGTTGGCTCCACCTCGTTGCCCCTTCCTCCCTTGAAGTCCCAGCTCCAGTTCTCCAGCTCTGATGAGGGGCAGGGCAAGGACATCAGGGATGACAAAATGCCACCGAAACTCCCCCCTTCTGAGCAAGGCGACGGGATGCTGCAGGGGGAGAAGACGGGCTCTCGGAGCTGCCTTGCTCTTGGCTGCTCCTGGGGAGTTAAAATGGGACTCATGTCTATGACTGAATCAACATTCAGAACTGGCCAGTCCTCTAAAAATAGCAAGATGTTCTGGCTGAGCCTTAGGAAAAATAAGGTCCTATCCCGACATACTACCCCACGCTTGCCTTAAAAGGCAGGGCCGTTGCTTTATTTCCTATCTCCTCGGCCAGACAAGGGTAAGCCCCACATAACCTGGCTGGTATCTGGTGAGCCCCAGAATAGCCTGTTTCAGAGAACACCAGCAGAGATAACAGTGGATAAGGTTACAAATGCGCAGATTTGGGGGTGGATGCCTCTGTGCGGACCACTCCTCCTGCAGACACTAGTAGGGCCCTAATCCCCATAAAAGTATGCAATTCTGATTACATTTTAAGAAACTATTATCTATTGTTTTAAACTTCTAAGCCTGACTGTGGCTCAGGAAAGGGACTAGGAGACCTAAGTTGCCTATGATAGAAATTCAGAGAGCAAGATTCTGGTGATTTTCTGCAGAAAGCTCTGGTTTCCTCTTCTTACCCAGCAAAGGCCTGGCTGAGTAAGGTCAGGTCTGTTATCAGAAGCAAAGTCTAGTGGTCAAGAAAGAGACAATCTGAGTATCTCACCATATATATACATATCTTTTTATAAAGGCCCTGAAAATGAGATTGGGCCCCAGATATTCAGAACTTTTAATGATTCTTGTCAGAAAGGATACTGATGAATCCCTTTCCTTAAAAAATCCTTTGCAAGCATACTAAACTAGTAAAAATAGTTTTCTTAAAATGTGAAAAGTATTTTTTATACAATCTAAGCTTTTCCACATATTTTAGAACCACTCCTTGTATAACAATTGTCATGTGAATGAAACTGTAGATCAAATACAAGAAATTCCATGCAATGAGTAGTTTCAGTTGCTATATTAATATTAATTAATATTAAATATACATTAAATAATAGTAATAATAGTAACAGGGACTATTTATTAGACTTCTAATACGGTGTTCACAGCTCCTTCCATAAATCTATGTCCTTAAAGCCTCCTGTTGAGTAAACATTATTCTCACTTTATAGATGAGGAAACAGCCTCAGGGAGGTTAAGTAGTCAGCTCAGGGTCACAAAGCCAGAAGGCACAGGTGCCCAAGCCGACTCTTCCTCCCTACACCCCTCTGCTGCCAATAACCTTGAAGATGGTATTGTTAGCCTATAATTCAGGCTTCTCCCTGTCTTAACCATCCTTGATTTCCCCCTAATTAGAGAGTCATTCTGAGGACCACTAATGGATAATCACATTCTCCTCTCTCTGTGATGCTGTGTCTGAGTCATTTATGTTCAAATCCTGCCCTGCCCGGTGAAAGAAATAGGAAAAGAATGGTGCTGGCTGTTTATGCGTGTGATGGGGCCTTTACTGTTACTTACTTCTGAATGCTTTAAAATGGCTCTTGCTTCTCAGGAATAAGGGAAGGACAATTCATTAATTAAGACTTTTGAAAAATTGTCTGAGTACAGGGCAAAGAGAGGGGAAAAATAAATCTTGTTTTCAATAACGTGTTGAATGACATTTTGTATTGCCATCGGCCTGTTCCAAGAAATTCATGGTCCTCGCATGAGTGTTACCTCATTAATCTTCAACTCACCCTGTGGTAGGCAGAGTGGTTACACAACCACCACAGGAATGAGGAAAAGAAAGGTGGTGATCTTGCCAATACCACACAGCACACAAGTGGCCAGGTGACACCTCATACCTTCCCACTCTTCCTATTAACACCACCTGCCCAGTCCAGAAGATTTGGGCAGGTAAGAAACTAAATAAGCAATCTGGAAAAAAACGTACATCCTTTAGCCTTGTGCAAAACTCAGAAGAACATGCCTTTACATCTCCTCTCCTAGAGTTTTCCCTTTCATTTATGCTTGGTCTGAAATATTTGATGTCATTGTAGTTGTTTCTTTTTTTTTTTCTTCTACCTACCTCTCACTCCATTTTCTAATCTGTTCCCTGTATTTCCTTCCTGGCATGTTAAGTTAGATGACC